AGAGAGAGAGAGAGAGAGAGAGAGAGAGAGAGAGAGAGAGAGAGAGAGCCAAAAGCATGGATTCATCAGATGTAAAATACCCCATATAATTAATTTAGTAATATATATTTTCTTTATGCATATGATAAGTAGCACTCTCTTATTGACATATTTTATAATTAACTTTTGTTCATTTCATGAAACTTTAATGAGTGATAGTGCTACAAATGTGTAAAAGATAAAAATTTATTATAATTTTTTTTATATGATCAAAGACAGACCATTTATGTCTAGTTTAGGGAATTCACAATATTAATCTCGTAAGGAATCCAACCTTCTCAGGCAAAAAGAAAGGTACATAGATCAGGTGATAAATCTAGCTAAGAAAAGCAGATAAATGGGTAATTAATGAAGGAAATAGTGCCTATTAGTCTTACCTCCTAAAAATTAAGAGGAAAATCATCTCAAAACTATATCGTTTCAATACATTTTTATTGAAAAAACTAAACTATTTTATTTTTAAAGCATGCATTAAGGTGATTTTTGTCATTTTCCTCCTAATTTTTTGGAGGTAAGGCCGACAAGTACTAACCCTATTAATCAAAGGCTAAACTGGAGATTTGAGGGAATTTTGGTTGTGGATATATGATCCCTAATCAATTTTTGATTTTTTTTCCTTATATTTCTGTATATAATCTACCATCTTTGGCGAAGTAATTAAACTACAATCCACTAAGTGGTATTAAATTAAGAAAAGCAGATAATTAAGTTAAACAATCTAAGAATTAATTAATCTTGAAACAGAGAAAACACAAAGAGAGATGAGCAATAAAATAAATAATTTAAATTAAAAGATTGAATAACAAAATAAAAAGAGAGCTAATATCATCGTTTTATTGCAAACATAAAAAAGGAAGCAAAGGAAAGAGATGATGAGTTTTAATATACATTGAGAACTAAAAGCATGTTTCTCTTTTGTTCTCAATCCTTCAACCTATCATATCCCCTACCCTTAAATACAACACAATACTTAAAAAGGTAAAAATACAACAGAAACTCTCACTCATCTTGGCGTGATTTCTCCTTGGCAGTTGTTATGCCGCTGGTATCAGAACGGCGGCCTTCCTCCATGTGCCCAAGCAAAGGCTTCGTGCCCTAGCTGCCCACCGTTGGGAAGAAGATTAGGAGGCAGATGATTGTATAAGGGCAGAGATGATGGATCGGGCAGGCCGGTGTGCTGCCCGCTGCTCCCAATTCCCTGCGGGGAATTACCCCCACCACCTGGGATCTGCTCATGTCCACCTGCCTCTTCATCTTCTTCTAGAGGTAATCTCTCATATGTGGAATTAGCAAACGTTGCAGCAATGACCATGACGGGCCCCGCAGCCTGCAGTGGTCCCATCACGCTTCCTCCGAGAACCTGCCCCTGCCCACCGGCCAGGTACACCGTCAGCCCTGTTGACCCTGGAGGAGCGGGGCCGGGGAGAAAAGCCCCAGTCAAGGACAAAATCTCAAACCTTCCATGAAGAGCAACCACAGCACTAGGGGCCGCCGGTTGCCTCAGAGTCACGTTAGCCACCGAGCCGCTGCCGCTGAGCACGCAAACCCCACGCTGTCGCCTCCTTGCAAACTGAGCTATGCTTTCCGCCACATCGTTCCCACTTGCAATCTCCATGACATGGCTACGAAGGGCGTTGGGGCTGTCTCTGGTGACAAAAATGGGCGGTTTGGGTTTGTTCTTGGATCCAGGGGGACGGCCTCGGGGTCTCCTGGTACCCACTTCAACCGCTCCCTCTTTAGGCTCATCCCCGTTATCTCTCTCTTCATCTTCATCTCCCCTGCCGTTGCTCTTATTGCTTCCAGAGTCATTCATGGAGATTTCAAGGTCGCGTTTGCTCAGAGCTTGGGAATTGGCCACCGGGTCCATGCCAGGGAGACCAACCTGATTGACCCACCAAGGATTCGACATCCTACTTGCAATTAATTAATTTCAAGACAACGTTAAAAAAACAAAAGGTTTTCTGCCCTAACAAACTGATTTTCTTCAATTTTTTCTTAGGAAAATGAAAACAAAGATTTCTCTGCCCTAACAAGGTTCTTCTACATCCTTTTGAGGGAGAAGACAGTGAGAAGACAAATTAAAGAGGAGAAGATTGTGGGGAAGAATTAGATGCAATTGCGGATGGAATCAAATTAAGAAAAGAGGTCATCACTCATCATCAATCTATGGACAATTAATTAAGATGCATGACGCAACAAGATCAAGGACCCAGAAATGATCTGATGATCATGAAGGAACAAAACAAAGAACAGACGAAATTAATCAAAACCCTTGATAGAATCAAGCATAGAGAAGAGAGAGAGAGGGAGGGGAGAAAAAGGGGAGGAAGAGAGAGAGAATGAATAAACTAAGAGCACTAAGAGAGAAATTTAAGGAGTACATAAAAGCAGCATAAATAATATATAGAACACAAAACAAGATTGGATCAAATGTTCCTTTCTTTCTTTTTCTAGGTTCAAGACTTTCAAGCTGTGTCGTGTTTTGATTTGGGGAGCTAAGAAAATTTCATTTTTTCTTTTTAATTTGCTTTAAGAAGTTGATATTCTTCTACATTAATAATTGAAGGGTT